AATAATTTAATTTGCACATCCCTGAATGTGCTGCGATCCCACAAACCCAGTGGGTGCACCAAGCTNCCCCCAAACTGGGATTGATGACCCCCAAACTGCAGCTGATGACCCCCAAACTGCAGCTGATGACCCCCAAACTGGGATTGATGACCCCCAAACTGGGATTCATGACACCCAAACTGGGATTGATGACCCCAAACTGGGATTGATGACCCCAAACTGGGGCTGATGACCCCAAACTGGGGCTGATGACCCCAAACTGGGATTGATGACCCCAAACTGGGACTGATGACCCCCAAACTGGGATTGATGACCCCCAAACTGGGGCTGATGACCCCAAACTGGGATTGATGACCCCCAAACTGGGGCTGACGACCCCCAAACTGGGGCTGATGACCCCAAACTGGGATTGATGACCCCAAACTGGGATTCATGACCTCAAACTGGGACTGATGACCCCAAACTGGGACTGATGACCTCCAAACTGGGATTGATGACCCCAAACTGGGACTGATGACTCTAAACTGGGGCTGATGACCCCCAAACTGCAGCTGGTGACCTCCAAACTGGGGCTGATGACCCCAAACTGGGAATGATGACCCCCAAACTGGGACTGATGACCCCCAAACTGGGAATGATGAGCCCAAACTGGGAATGATGAGCCCAAACTGGGATTGATGACCCCCAAACTGGGATTCATGACCCCAAACTGGGATTCATGACCCCCAAACTGGGACTGATGACCCCCAAACTGGGGCTGGTGACCCCCAAACTGGGACTGATGACCCCCAAACTGGGACTGATGACCCCCAAACTGGGATTGATGACCCCCAAACTGGGATTGATGACCCCAAACTGGGATTGATGACCCCAAACTGCGGCTGATGACCCCAAACTGGGATTGATGACCCCAAACTGCGGCTGATGACCCCCAGACTGGGATTCATGACCCTAAACTGGGGCTGATGACCCCAAACTGGGACTAGTGACCCCCAGACTGGGATTCATGACCCCTAAACTGGGATTGATGACCCCAAACTGGGACTGGTGACTCCCAAACTGGGATTGATGACCCCAAACTGGGGCTGGTGACCCCTAAACTGGGATTGATGACCCCAAACTGCAGCTGATGGCCCCAAACTGGGATTGATGACCCCCAAACTGGGATGATGACCCCAAACTGGGACTGGTGACCCCCAGACTGGGATTGATGACCCCAAACTGGGATGATGACCCCAAACTGGGACTGGTGACCCCCAAACTGGGATTCATGACCCCAAACTGGGATTCATGACTCCCAAACTGGGATTGATGACCCCAAACTGGGATTGGTGACCCCCAGACTGGGATTCATGACCCCAAACTGGGATTGATGACCCCAAACTGGGACTGATGACCCCAAACTGGGATTGATGACCCCAAACTGGGATTGGTGACCCCCAAACTGGGATTGATGACCCCCAAACTGGGGCTGGTGACCCCAAACTGGGATTGATGACCTCCAACTGGGACTGATGACCCCAAACTGGGATTGATGGCCCCAAACTGGGACTGATGACCCCCAGACTGGGATTCATGACCCCAAACTGGGACTGGTGACCCCAAACTGGGATTGATGACCCCAAACTGGGGCCTCAAAGCCACTGTGACACCAGCATGGGGAGCAGGAGGCCCGGCAGCTTTGCTGGGAATGTGCCAGTTTGCAGAGACAATAAATAGGCAGCAGCTTCCTAAGAGGATTCAGCACAGGAACGAGACTTTTCCTTCCAAAGAGGATGGGATTGGGAAGAAAAAGAAAAAAAAACAACAAAAAACAAAAAACAGCAGCGGCAGCTCCATGGCAGCTTGGAACTGGTGCCAGGAAAATGGGAAATAAAGAAATTAAACCCCCCTCCTAAAGCCCCTCGGTGGGTTCAGTGCACTCTGTGTCTCACAGAACTTCTCTTTTTTTTCTCTCTGCACATCAGGCATGAACTAAGTTTAAAAAATAAATCATCAAGCCAACAACAAAAAAAAAAAAAATCCCAAACCCTACAAATTTCCAATGGGAATTCTGCAAACAGCATCGCTCCTCAGTGCTGGGAGCCACCGGTCCCTGCATATCACCAGCAAATAAAAAATCAAAAATATAGCTATATATTGAATTTCTCTCCCTTCCTTCCTCCCACGGCAAAGCTGGGTAAGGCAGGATCTCCCCAGGTGGAGAAGCATCACCTATTCAGGTGCATTTATTTAAATTTATCTCTCTGTATAAAAAAGAAATTAAATCCTGTTAGTAGCAAGAAGGTCTCTTGGCCCACCCCAAAATTCCCCTCCCCTTTAACACTCCAGAACTGGCTCTAAAATTAAATGTTTTCCATAGGAAAGGTCTACTTGGAAAAAAAAAAAAGCTGATAAATAGGTACCTTTGTTTTATTCATCTCTTTTTAAGTCTCATTGAAATGAACAGCGCAAGGGTCTGTGGGAGGAGAAAATCCATCGTAAATACTTCCTTGACAACAACAAAAATAGAAATATGCTCATGGAAATGACACAGGAACACCTGGAAAGCCTCAAAGGGCTGAGATGGGACTGACCTCGGCAGGATGGGCAGCACTGGCCCAGGATTCCGGGCACAAATCACTCCCATCTGCTGGCAAATCCCACCAGATGTTGGGATTTTTGCTTCCTCTTTTTTAATTCTTGAAGAGGTTTGAAAGTTACAAATGGCAGAAATCCCTGGTTTTCAGGGAGGTGTTCTCCTCGGCTCTTAAAAAAATAAAAATTAAAACAAAAGACACAAAAAAAAAAAGAAAAGAAAAAGACAATTCCCACTGCCAAGTTACAGCAGGAGGGATCCAACACCCAGAGATCCTTCCCAAAAATCAATGTACTAAGGCTGCTGTCACAGGGGGCAGGACTGGCCCTGGAGCAGAGGGAAAACTGGATGCTTTATGGAAAAAAAAAAGCAACATCAGATAAATCAAACACAACCAGAGTCACATCCCAGGTCCCCATGCTGGGATAACCCATCCAGATGCCTCTGCATCCATAAATTCCCCTTTTCATTTGTTCTTTCATTTTTTTTTCTTTAAGGAAATGGGGAAAACAAACAAACAAAACAACAACAAAAATGAAACCGCTTTGGGGAGCAGCCTCTCCCCAGCCCTCCCTGACCCACTGGCAAACTCCAGTGCCCAGCTTGGGGTAACAGCATTTTTAAAATTCCTTCTTCCTTCCACTCCTACTTTTCCATCAATTCCCCCCCCTTCTCCTGGCTCAGTTTGCTGCAGGGTTGGGATTATTTTTGTCACTAACCAAGCAGGGGAGGCCAGTGGGGACCCTCTGGCATCTCCTGAGCGAGGCAGGGATGCAGCAGCTGAAATGCGGACGAGACCTTGCTCTGGC